ATTTTAGAGATCCGAGGCTGATCCGAGGAGTCTGCATATTGCCTGATTCCATCCATATGGAAAGGGGAAAGATAGGAGGTTACCAGAAGTTGGAGGAAAGAGCCAAGACCAGGAAGAAAACAGATAATTGAGTGTCTACGGTAGACACACACCTTTATACGTCTGTCTAAATCCACAGCTCCACCACCAGGAGTGAGCCCTGCCTGATGTTAGTGTGACGTCAGTGTAGGGTCATCAGCTGTAACAAGCTGCTGTGGTGGGCTGTGCTGATAACTGAGAAGGCTGTGTGTGACTGAGGCACAGGAAACATGGGACATTTCTCCATCCTCTATTCAGTTTTCTGCAAACATAGAACTGCTTCCTTTTCTTTTTTCTTTCCCCTTCCTCCTCTTCCCCTTCTTTCCTCCCTCCCCCCCCTCTCTCTCTTTCTTTCTTTCTTTTAAGGATTTCTCTGTGTATCCCTAGCTGTCCTGGAACTCACTCTGTAGACCAGGCTGGCCTCAAACTCACTGAACTCCTATTGCCTTTGCCTCCCAAGTGCTGGAATTAAAGGTGTGCACTGCCACCTCCCAGCTCATTTAACTGCTTTAAAACAGTTTTATTTTTAAAGGTGGAGAGCAGAGTTGGTAGGCAGGGGACCCCAGATCTAACTCCCTCATCACATCTACTCCAGGAGGCTTCTGGTTTGCAGCAGGCTCAGCCTCTACTGGTTGCCTCTCTCCCTTCCTTGATTATCAGCTATGACCCTGGCTTTTCTAGCCCTTCTGGTAAATGCCAGGTGATTCTTAGGGTCCCTTTCAGGTCTAACATTCTATTCTATAGAATGTAGGATGTGTTCATTTTCTTTCTTTCTTTTTTTTTTTCCTCATTCTACTTGAAAATCATTCTACTCCAGAAGTCAAGAGAATTCCCACACTGTCAATTTAATGTTTCTGCTTGTTGCCTACAAGGCATGAAATCACAGCCTGCCACCCAGTATTGAAGATCATTTTCCTTTAAGGAGTGGATGTTGATGTCTAGATAACTTGTGGCTTAGAACATATGGGCACCGGCTCCCCTATTGGGTCCTCTGGGGAATGTTACCAATGGGCTCAGGCTAATAAACGGGATGTGCCATGGTCATTAGTCAGGAAACGCAATGTCCTGCCAGGTGGCCTGGCCTGGTGGCCCTTTACTTGCTGGCGTTCTTGGCAGCCTCTCAGGAGAAGAGCTGCTGTGCTCTGTTCTATTCCCAGGGTCTTGGGCTGGTGGCTGCTTCTGGGACAAGACAACCCAGCCCTGGAGAGCCTGTCTGCTTAATGCATCAGGGTTTGCCTTTACGTATTCCTGTCTTAATTACATCTTTTTCTTCACTAGCTTCTTTATTTGTTATTCACAACAACTTTGAAAAACTAATTAAGCAGTGGTCTCTTCTCTCTCTGCAGCAGCTATTTACTTCCTTTGTAGGGCTTTCAGCTCTTTATTCTTGTGTGTCTGTACTTGGGACATTGCTGTCATCTCAGTTTATATGTTATGGTAAAATGTGCCTTGTTCATTTTGAGCAATTCCTTAGCAGGGAGCAGAATTCCCTTCGTGGGTGTTTGCCTTGCCAGGAATTGTTTAGGAAGTTCAGTTATACTCTTGGCTCTCAGCACACAAACATTTCTGTATTTTACTTTTTAGCTCAACATAATTTCATGTGCGTGTTCCCATGTAGCTACATTATCTTCCGATTTATCATTTTAATGACTGCTTAATATTCCATCCAGTTAACATGCCATAATTTACTTAACTATTCCCTATTGTTGAGCCCTAATGAAAATTGAAAGCCATCCTGTAATACAGAGAGAAGCTGGTTTTAATGACCACAATGGCATCCCAGCAGCCTTAGCTGCCATTACAGACCAGCTTTTGCCTCTGGAACAATCAATCCTGCATGAGAGGTGTCATGCAAGTCCCTGTGATTGAATGGCTAATCTGTTCTCAGCACATTTTCCTTTCAGGTTGGTGTTTATGTAGTGTGCCTGTTTCTTCTCAGTGTTACTTGACACTAAGCTGTATGCAGGTGGCATTTCCAGGCACTTCCATCACTGCTATCTAGGATTTTAACAAATTAGCAGAAATTTGGGGTACAGGAGGGTTTCTGGCTGTCAGTTCTTGTTCGTCACTTGAATGTCTGAGTGGTTTCTGGGGGAAGGAGCAAGGTGCTCCCCTACAGAAGTGCATCTGTGAGCTGCCCTTGGAGTAGCAGTTCTTAGCCTGTGGGCCGCGAGCCCTGGGCGGGAGTGTTGAACAACCCTTTCACAGGGGCCACAGAAGACCGTAGAAAAGCACAGGTATTCATATTACAATTCATAACAGTAGCAAAATTGCAGTTAGGAAGTAGCAATGAAAATAATTTTATGGTTGCACAACGTGAGGAACTGTATTGATGAGTCACAGCGTTAGGAGGGTTGAGAACCACTGCAGTTCACATGGGCCATGTGAGTGAGTGATGAAGAGGGTGGTTTTCCCAGGTCAGCTCTATCAGCTACACCTCAGGCTGTGTCCTCCTCAGAATCAACAGGGAGGTGTCAGGGACCCCTACAAAGCAGTATATAGCACAGATGGTTGGGTTCATGAAGTGATTTATAAAGTTGTATGTAGAGCTCTACAGTTGGTGCCCTTCCCTTCTCATTTTTTCTTCCCCTCCGTTTCAGAGGGAAGCATGGTGCTCAAAACGTAACAGTTCCCACAGAACCCAATAAAAGCCACATTTTACCAAAGTATGGGGACATCTCTTAGGTGATAACTTTACATGGCTTACAAATCACAGTCAGAGGGCTTTTCCCTGTTCATCCTCTCCTTTCTAGAGAATGAAAGTTCTTGTTTTTAGCAGTTTGTGCATCCCTACCATCTCTCTCACACTTGCAAATCCCTCTGCGAGACACTGCTGTGGTACCAGTCTAGTGGGCTTGTTTCTCATTCAGTCTTTGTATGTTTAGCAGCTGTTTTCTGGCAAAATAACTGCTCCTGGGATATTTACAGAAACTTCATTTTTAAAATGAGATTAACAACAAATACAATGATGGTTCTAGAAGCTAGAGCCATAAAGTCGGTGTGGGACTAGGTAAAGTTTGGTAAATACTGGCATAAGAGTTAATGCATGTGGTTCTGAGGGGCAGTCATTGGCCTGTTCACCAGGGCACAGGAAGTGGGGTGCATTGTTGTCTTGTTGAGGTGTCCTTAGCTTGTAGAACAGAGATCTGAAGCATTCTTGCTTGGAAGTCATTCACATGTGTTCCAGCAGCTACCTGGCCAGGCCTGTGGCCTCTGCTGTGTCTTTATGCATCCGACCTCTGGTTCGGAGAGTGCTTCACACACACCTTGAAATAATACCTACCTCCCCTCATCCTTTGTAGTTGGCTGTACTGCTATTCCCTTATTGAGCCTGGGGCCACATGAGACATTACTTAACCTTGCCTTGAAGACAAGTGAGGTTCTGCCATATGGCTCCTGCCTTGATATACAATGCCATGTGCAGTAAGCCAGCCACAGAAGGACAGATGCTGATTCTCTTTCAGGAAGTAGCCTACTAGGGTAGTCAGAGAGAGAGAGAGAGAGAGAGAGAGAGAGAGAGAGAGAGAGGGAGAGGTGGGATAGAATTTGCTAAGGGCTGGGGAGAGGGGAAAGTGAGGAACCCTATTTAATGGTAGACTTTTAGTTTGAGAAAATGATAAAGTTTTAGGGATAGATGGTAGTGATACCTGCACAAGGGCGCTTGTACTTAATGCCACTGAACTGTCCAGGTAACAATGGCTAAAATGGAGAGGTTATATACAATAACAAACTAAAGTTGGAGCCAAGTGTGATGGCCCTTGCCTATATTCCAATCACTGGGGAGGTTGAGGTAGGGGGATCATGAGTTCAAGGCTAGTTTGGACCACATGGAAGTTCCATGGGCTACCTTGTGAGATCTTCAAAAAGAAAAGCAAACAAACTGTGCACTTGTTCTTTACATGATGGGGCCTTGGCTCACCCTGGACCTACCACAGGGGAAGCTTTCTGCTTCCACTTATCGGAGCCATCAGTTCAAATGCAGGCTCTTTTCTCCTGCCCTATCCCATCCAGGCCCCCATCCCTAGCATCCCTTACCCTCAAGTTGGTGTCATGGTGATGTGATACGTGGTATGTTGGCTCCTAGAAATAGCCTCCCTGAGAGAAGCCTAGACAAGCAAAGATCCTGCTTGAATAGCAGGTGTTCATGATCCAGATGCCAACCAAGTTTCCTTGCTTGGCCAGGAAGGCCTGAATTCAGATCAGAACAACTAGATGTCTGTCTGTTGTCAGGGATGACTAGTCAAGTCATCAAGCCACCTCTTGTTCCCACACCTTCCAAATCCCCAGCATGTTCAGTTGGGCTAGATATGTGGACTCTGTGGTATAGAAGTACAGGAAGGTGTCACTCAGCTTCACAGGTTGAAGAGTATCCTGGCCAGATCCCCACCCCCACCCCCACAAGAATTTTTGCATGTTAGCTCTTTACTCTGAGCTGGGTGGAAACAGGAGGGTCATTTGGCCCAATATGACTCTGTGGGAATGGGATTAGAAGGCTCTGGTGCTGTAAGACTGTCGGGTAAGAGGGCTAGACAGAGCCAGAACACTGCCATTTCTTGCTCACAACTGGCCCCTGTCCTTGAAGCCCAATAAGACAGTGGCGAGAGCTATTGTTAGGTTGTCGGTTACAGTCCTGGGAAGCAGGCCCTCACCCAGAGAGCTAGAAGACACTTTTTCAGAGCAGGGCAGCCAGGAATAGAAAGAGGTTTGTTGTCTCTGTCGCCACCTCCCTGGCTGGCAGCTCTGACATTACACCTGTTCCCTGATTGTGGCTGCAAATCCATGATGTCTCTGCTTCTTTTCTTTTTGCCTGCAGAATTCCAGAGGCAGGAGAGTGTCCGGTCCCAACACAAAGGTATTCAGTTATATGACACCCCTTATGAGCCCGAAGGCCAGAATGTGGACTCAGATTCGGAGAGCACTGTGAGCCTTCGACTGCGGGAGAGCAAGCTACCCCAGGATGATGACAGGCCTGCTGATGAGTACGACCAGCCTTGGGAATGGAACCGGGTCACCATCCCCGCCCTGGAAGGTAGGGGCAATGTCCCTGCTTGGGAGGCAGTGGCTGAAGAACACTCAGCACAAGCTGAAGTAAACAAAATATAAGTGGTTTGCCTGGTCAGGCAAACACCAGTTGAGTTGGCTCTTCTTTTTCCTAGTACCCAGTGGCCCTGCAAAGATGGTATAGATTCCTGAGGGAAAAAAGGGCAGGCCAAAGGGAAACTCCAGGCTGGCATTACAGGCTTCCAGTCCAGTCTCCCCACCTGCAGAGCCTAGAGCCTTGGGTCTCATTTGGTCCTCCACAGCTTCAGGGGCTCCTGCGTTTCCCATCTGTAGCTGTGGTGTTAGCCTGCTCAGAGCTCAGGCTCTTCTTATCTGGTTTCCCAGAATAAAAGTAGCCTCACTGCAGCTCTTCTGCAAAGTGGTATGGCCACATGTCACAAGTCAGAAACCCGTGCTCACGCCCTTTGATTTCAGGCACACTCTCAAGACCATATGCTAATGCTGATGGTCTGAAATTGAGAGAAGACAGTTTATGCTCATGAGAAATCGGGGCCACTGGGATGTCTGGCACAAGTGTTGTTTAAAGGAATCTGTGCCTCCATGTGGTGGAATATTGTATAGTCAAGAGTAAGTAAGGTTTAGAGTAAATTTATAACAACCAAGGGCAATGCTTTTGCGTAATGTTATGAAGTATAAACCAGATGCTGAAGCAATGACTGCATTTAAGAGTTTAGACCGGGAAGAGAGGAGCATGGGAAGACTGGTGCACTCCTAACACAGTGAAGTCATGGAAGGAGAGTTTTGTTGGATGTTTTTTCTTACACACAGCTGGACTCTGTTTCCCTTCCCAGGCCCCTCAACTGATATCTAGACATTTCAGAACATGCCCTATTTTGTTCCCAGGATATATGATGTGCCCTGCACACACCTCTATACTCTGAAGTGCCCATCGCAGCCTGCCTGGAAAGATCCTGAGCTCCCACACCCTGCTCAAATAGCCTTGTCTCTGTAAGCCCCACCCTGGTACCCAGCTATGGATGCTACAGACATCCTTGCTTGCTCTCTAGGCTTCTGCTTCTGTTGGAACCAAGGAGGCGGGTTCCAACAAGAGTGGGAAGGAAGAGTTTGTGCCATCCATAGCTCTTTACAAACACTAACTTGATTGAAGGGCTGAAAGAGGGCACGAGGCAGCTTTCTCTCCCAGATACCATGGGTCCAAGCATGAATCATCACCACAGGCAGCTGTTAGGGTTTCCCCTGTCATACTGGATCCTCATAGGGACCTTGAGGGCTCTTGTTGATTGTGATACTTTCGTCTACTCTGACACCTCACTCCTCACAGTCTCTGACCAGCAGTGTTGGCATTGCCTATGAGCTGCTCAGAAATCAAGCATCTTGGGCCAGAGAGATGGCTCTGTGCTGACCACATTTCAGTGTCTAGCACCCACAAGACAGAAAACAAGAATTCTTGCAAGTTGTCCTCTGACTCCATATATGTGCCTAGGTGCATGCACATATATGAATACACACACACACACACACACACACACACACACACACACACACACACACAAGCCTTATACCAGACATACACAGTTGGAGTATGTTCTGCCAGGTCCTAGGTGATCAGTGTTGAAGTTTGAGTGAGATGCACTTAGCCCTGAGGACACCGTCTCTCAGAAAGCTGTCTGTCTGGAACCTGACCACTCATGCCTGGAGATGGTTTTAGAACTTTTGTATCTGTAGTTGATCAGAAAAGGCCTCAGACAAGCTAGCTGGCAGTAAGTTTCAGGACTCACAAGTATCGATTCCGGTCTTGGTTTGGGTCACTGATTTATTATCTCTGGTACCACTGTCATCAAATTCTTACCCTGCCTTCTCTCATCAAGCCCCTTGGCTTTCATGGCCTGCCCCAGAGCAGATGCTGGCTGTGCGTGTCCCAGACAGCTCTGGGCTCCCTTCTCATTCCCTGGGATGAAAGAGGCGGTGGGTCCGTCACTCGGGAGCACCGGCCTGCAGTCTGGTTTCCTCTGTTCAGGCAGCAGTGGGTAGAGGCCAGCAGCCAGTTCTCAGGTAATGACGGTGCTTGCAGCAGCTTGACTGGATTGCTGAGTGTCATCACCATCCCGTTCGCCAGCCCTCAAGTGTGGCTATTTGGAACGAAGAGCAGTTTCCTATTGAGTGGCTGTTATATGTTGAGTGTGCATGCACAAGGGGCGTACCTGTACAGGAATGCGTGTGCAAGTGTGTGCACTCGTGCTTCAGTGAGTTCCCGGAATGTTCAGGGACTGGTAGTGCTCCTAGGGCCTGTCCTTACTGTGGTGCCTTCTAGAAACAATCCCAGTTTTTTTCAGGTCTTGGGCTTGCTAGGGAACAGCCGTGCGAAGTGAAGGTTGCTGAGCACAACTGCCCTTTCCTCTCTTCACTGGCCTATTTTTGTGACTCTGCATGTTCAGCCTGGTTGGAGAAACCTGAGTGGGGACCCTTTCTGTGCTGTCAAATTCCCAAAAGGCATAGAACTAGGCCCTTGAAAGGGGAAACCCAGACCAGGACCCAGAGAGCGGCAAGCATTTTGAAGGAACTTGATTGTGTAGATGTACTCTCCAGCCTCGGAGGCTGCTGTAGCAGCTGCAAGGAGGAAGGTGGGTGGCAGAGGCTCACTCTGTAGCAGGAGCATGGACTGTAGGCAGTTCTGGGCACATGCCCATTCCCCTGGAACCCCAGCATGCCAATGAGAGTAGGCAGACTTCAGGTGCTCTGTAGTCTGCAGGGTGCTGCTCTACTCTGAGTTGGTACAAGGGGCCCTTTTCAGCCAAGTCCCAGCATGCTGTGTGTGTGTGGGGAGGGGGGAATAGAGAGACTGATGCTTGTCCCTGTTGCACTGGGAACTTGAGCCACAGGAAGATTCCATGGACACTCTGCATCTGGGAAGAGGATATTGTGAGAGGATGAGGTGGCCCTAGATCCCTGGAATGATGGTCTTCCATTCATCAGGATTCTTCAGCGCACATTTCATTAAGGATAAGAACTTGGGGAGATGAGAGATCTCACCAGTTCCTTAGAGAGCCCTTGGTGTTCTTTTCTTTCGAGTGTTTTGGAGTGGTGAAGGTTGGTGTGTCAGCTTGCAAGATGAACAGGTTCTGCACATAACTTGGCTTGTGACATGACCAAGAATTGGAGATGAGGAAGCACTCAGGTTGGATGGCAGACACCTGCTGCTGTCAGACCTCTGAAGGGATTGTACCTGTTCTGGGAATCTTGACTGCCTCACTAGCAAAGGATCCCTGCTGAAGGTTGGTGAACTAAACCTCCTATCTGGAAAGTGTGGGCTCACTGCCAGCATCAACTATGCACCTTCTGCATGCATTGTGTCCTTGTGACCTCCCTCTGCATGGTTATTTTCCTTCTTTTAGGGATGGGAGTAGAGAGGCCCCTGCCTGGTCAGCTACAAAGTGAGGTCTAACTGTAGAGCCTGTACCCGAGAGTCATCACACAAATTATGTTTAGGGACCTGCACCTGCTGCGGTTCCAGCCTTACATGCCAGTGTGAGGTATTAGGACAGCTTCAGGCTAGGAGTCCACCTTTCTAACACGAGGAGGGCCCTGTGTGCTATACAGTCTCACTCCCTCTGTCATGGAGAAACTGAGGCAGACGGGAAGAGAACCACAAAGGACCTTGTGGCAGAGCCAGTCAGGCCATCTGTGGACATGGGAGGTCTGCAGTTGGGTCTGAGAAATAATCAAAGCACTTGATAGTGTGGAGTCTGGCAGCAGGAGCCGGGCAGTGGCCACGCCTGAGAAGGATGCCTGCTGGGCCTTTTTGAGAGACAGTTATTTCATTTGTGACTCACCACCTCGAGATTGTTTCCCTTCAAGGTATTTTGCAGACAGTGTCCTGGGCTCCACTAAAGGCAGAGATGGAAAAACAGACACATGACTCAGATGGACATACCACACTCAGCAGTTACTTGGGGCCCTTGTCTGTGTCCCATACCAGCTCCTTGGCATGTTGATTTGCCTTTGAGAGTTTAGGACAGTGTGTCTTATGCGTTAAGACCAATGAGCAGGAGTCAGACAGTCCCATGTTTGCTTGCCAGCTCAGTCATTCATCAGTTTAGACATCAGGCAGGATGCTCATCTCCCTAAGTTTCCCCATCTGAAGAGAGGTGATGGTCACAAGTCCTGAAACCCGACCTTCTAGTGATCCAAGAAAATCTCTGGATGAAAAGATACTGTTGTCAGCTGGGTGTTGGTGGTGCACACCTTTAATCCCAGAGCTCGGGAGGCAAAGGCAGGTGGATCTCTGAATTTTGAAGCCAGCCTGGTCTACAGAGTGAGTTCCAGGACAGAGGAACCCTGGGATGGGGGGTTGAAGAGAAGGCAGAGAGATGATGGCTCAGTAGTTAAGAATGTTGACTGCTCTTCCAGAGTTCCTGAGTTCAATCCCCAGCAACCACATGGCAACTCACAATCATCTATATATAATAAAATCTGATGCCCTCTTCTGGCATGCAGGCAACCATGCTGAAAGTACACTGTATACATAATGAATAAATAATCTTTAAAAAGTAAAAGACATTGTGAGCCCTAGAGGGTTGTGCCTGTGAGGTTTATTACTGGAGTTCAGGAGGGCTTGCTAAATTAAATGGAGCTTAATTTAACGACGGCACTGCATGAAGAGGCAGCCATGGAGGCCTCATTCACAGCCTCATTCCTAGTTATGCCCAGCAGTGGGAAGCAGGGGCAAGTAGCCTAGAAAGTGGTTCTACAGTGAGGACCCTAACCCTCCACTCCCCCCCAGTGTCACCTGCCACTACCCAGCCCTCAGTCCTTGTTCATCCCTCCCGAGGCTCAGGCCAGCAGTCTAGGGCAGTGAGAGGGCCCTCTGCCCCTCCCTGTTTAGAAGTGATATGCTTAGTCATGCTAGAATAGGAGTTTTGAACTTGAGTTGCAGGTGAGCCATTGCAGAAAGTGTTATAGCACCTGTGTCACGGTACCTGAGTCCTGACTAAGTGTGGCAAGATGTGA